TCTATGCTTCACTCGTGCTCATCAAGAATATTCCGGGCTACAAAACCCGGCACTCCAATGTCGACATGTGCTTGATTCGTGAAAATACCGAGGGTGAATATTCTGGGCTGGAGCATCAGTCAGTTCCTGGTGTTGTAGAGTCTTTAAAGATAATTACCCGCATAAAGTCTGAGCGAATCTCGAAGTTCGCTTTCCAATTCGCCAAAGCGAATGGCCGCAATAAAGTTACCTGCATCCACAAGGCCAACATCATGAAGCTCGGTGATGGTCTTTTCCGACAGACCTTCTACGACGTTGCGCTGGATTACCCAAGCTTGGTTGTTGAAGACTTGATCGTTGATAACGCTTCCATGCAGGCTGTTTCCAAGCCTCAGCAATTTGACGTTTTGGTCATGCCAAACCTTTATGGATCCATTTTGTCCAACATTGGCGCAGCTCTAGTTGGAGGGCCAGGCCTTATCCCAGGCTGCAACATGGGACGGGAATATGCCGTTTTTGAGCCAGGCTGCAGGCACGTTGGGCTAGATATTAGAGGGCTGGGTCAGGCAAACCCAACTGCGCTGTTGTTGAGTGCTACAATGATGCTGAGGCATCTTGGTCTGGATGAGCCAGCCACAAGGTGAGTATATATTATTGCCACTTTCACTGCTCTAAACAGCTTCTTATTGGTTATTTTATAGGATTTCACAAGCTGTGTACAATGTTATTGCGGAGGGTCAGGTGAGGACAAAGGACATGGGAGGAAATAACACGACTACCGACTTCACGAATGCCATCCTGAAGAAGATGGAAGTTATATGAATAGGTTAGACAGAGGAGGATCGATGAAGGCGTGGTTAGAGCTGCGTCACTTTCCACATTGGGGTTGGGTTTCCCTGCTTTGGTCCTTTAGCACGTGAATGAAGTTTCTTTCTGCATCTTGTTTTCAGTATATATACTAGTATATGTATGTTCTGGGCCGGTCGTAGACATCTGCCGCTATGCCTGCAGCGGGCATCGAGTGAAGAGCGAAGCTACTTTTCCTTGCAACATACATATGTTCTTTTTCATTTGACTATTCGTGCAAGCCCACGGAAGCAAAAGATCCGCTAGATGTAGAGGTACTTTTTTTATTCAGCTGATTTAAAGTTTAGATGCTTGTCGTGCTGCCATATCCCCATATCTGAACTTGCTTCAGGCTTATAATGGTCAATCGGGTCGTAGAGCTCAAGTGGGAAATAAACGATCTAAAACCCCCATTGAGTTTGTTGTCGAGGTCGCTCAGGTTTTGGTTTTGCAATGATATGTGATATAAGCGTCTATTGTCAGTTTTATCACCAATAGACTGGCGGCGCCATGGAGCCATATTCCGCAAGGACCTCTATGATACCTAGAATGTTCAGGAAAACGATGACACCTTGGATAAAGAAAATGTTATTAGGATAATGAGTAGGAGCTTTTTGGCATGAAATTAAATTTACTTCTTCAGCTCCTGGGCAAGAATACCTCAACATTGTGAGGCACCAGCGTTCCTCAGAATAGATTACCGAAAAACGGGAAATAGCGTTAATAAGTATCGTCAGATACAATCGGCAGAAGCCAACAAGTATTGATCAATTTATTTTACCCGATTCTTTTATTATACGCCAGATTATTCATTGATTGCATTGGAGGCTTACAAAATGATGGGTTGTTGCAGTGGTGTGTGATAGGAATAAGTGCAAAGGTGAGGGAACAAATGCAAACTCTGCATACATCGATACATAGGATCAATCCTTGCTGGCAACAATATTGATGATCGGGCAGAAATTTACTAGCAAAGTTATAACATCGAAGTTGCGTTAGGTCATGAACTACAGTCACAGCAGACAGCTTATCCAACTTCTTCGTTGCCTCCGCCTCTGATGACATGCCTTCCTTGTTCTCCGAGTTATGTCTCCATGACTTCATGAAGATGGGATTCGTCGTGACGAGAAAGATGATGATGATATTCAGAAATAGCATTGGGAGGAGAATGGTTAATGTTAGCAGAGCTGGAGTACGGATGTAGTACTCCAGTTAAAAGTTTTGAAGAGCGGCCAGGAAAGTCGTCCCCGGATGATTGGTCCCGAAACTGATAGTAAACCAACTCACGATGACTGTCCGTTTTGGCATGAACCGACTATTAACTTATCACCATATAGAAAGGTGAGAGGTGTTTTTCCTCGCGTAAACCATGTTTCTTGCTTCGTCCTAGGTTGTAGTCCTACACAAGCCCAAGTTCACAAGTAACTTACAACTAACTCTAGATCTGGTTGATAGAAGCCCTTAAGAGGTTTACAATGCCTGGCTCGTTTAAGGGTGCTATTCAAAAAATCCGTGGCATACAGTACTGCCAACGCCGTAGGAGATGATGAGAGCTGATTGGGCAATAGTTAACGGCATCCGCACCAGGCGGTAATCAAAGATGACTCGGTCATGGCAGCGGAGAGTGGAAGTCAGAAGGAAGTGGAAGGATGGAATCAACCCGGACTTCAGAATCCAGGATTACATAAGCTTAAGTGTCCAGAAATGGACTGCTTGGTTTCCAAATGTGGATGCTTCGCCAAATTTCCATTTCAGGGCTGCAACATCCGCCTTCCTACAACCTCTACGAGGGAGGGGTAGTGCAACCAGACTATTCCTACAGTGGTCTCCACCGCATTTATGTATACTGGACTACAGTCTCAGGAGGCTTCTAATGCCCATTCCACTAGTTTAAAAAAAGGCCAACTGCAATCTTCGATCTCAAGGAGTCCAAATGCTAGAAACGAAGCTCCAACAGTTACATGCCAGGAGAAAAAGCAACCCACGTCAAAGAGACACTAGAAAGATGGCCAGACGTGTCAGTATACTAAAGTCTAAAATTATACCGAAACCACAAGGAGGGTATTTTGCCAAAACATTTCAAAGAGGCTATTGATCCACTAGACATGAACAAAATCGATTGAGAGTATGTCACCGAAAAACATGAACAAAGAATTCACTCAAGAAACCATAACATACCACCACCGAAAAGTTCGAGAACTTTCTCTTATCGAGAAAATCAAATGACAAAATTGAGCTACCAGCAAAATGATCTCAGTGAAGCCTATTCAAGACTCGCAAGAGACAAAAATACCCGGGGTACCATGTGGTTAATTTGTTAAGTTATTTCGAGAATCTCACCCCTGGATTACGGCGAGAGGGCAAATCCTGTAACTGAATGTAACAAAATGAGATTGAAGGGGATATTCCAAGCCAACAGACAAGTGGAGACGATGGTGATTTACCGAATGAAGATGATAATGAACAGAATGACGATAATGATGAACCAAATGAAGAAGACATACAAGAGGACGGTGATGAAGGTAGGGAATGTGAGGGGAAACCACCAGAAAAGGAATAATGCCACCTCTTCGATTGCAAATGGAGATGTGAGATGCTATAGTTTGCCAGAATTTGTTGTCAGGTTATTTAGGATGAAGTTCATCTGCTAGACTGTCCGCTTTATACGACAGAAAGAAGGAAAACAGGATCTACATGGGGCTCGCGAACTATATTATTGCAATAGATCCTCCACGGTCTATAGCAAGCGACGTAGGTGTTTTCCTGACATCTACTATTAAGAATGTCGAAGGAGAATAGCTTGTCTTGGTTACTGTTTTTGCTACGTCTTTTTTTATATATTTTTGTTTTTACTTTGTTTTATCAATCAAACTATGCTGCATTAAGAAGTATGCATACTAGAACCTATGAAATTAAGGCAGAGAGTTACCCTCAATGGCCCCCCCCCAAAAAAAACAGAAATAAAATAAAATAAGCATAGAAAAGATTAAGGAGAAGCTGAAAACTAGAAGAATATGATTCTCAGTTACCGGTAACCAACAGAGATGAACATAATGAAAACATTGAAGCCCAAAGATTCAGCAATTACTTTCGCTTGGAGGAGTATGAGGCTCAAGGGCACATGACTGGCCTCAACACTCACAATACAGACGTGACAAAGCTCTATATGAATAATACAGCTATTGACATTGTTCAACTCTCGAGAGCCTCTAAACAATACATGCCATCGGCAAAATTCTCCAATGCGCAAAAATCACATTCCCCTAAGAGTATGGATCTATTCGGGAACGAGCAACTTAACCAACTGTGGGTTTCGAGGTCATGGACATCCTCCTCTAATCTCGCCATAGCCCTTAGGGCGGTATGCGAGTACTGATATAAAAAAAAAAAAAAAAAAAAAAAAAAATCCTCCTCTAACAAACAGTGACTGGTAGTAATAAGAGAAATTGCCTGTCTCAAGTGAAGCAAAATTATAGTTCACACTCAAATATTTATGTAATTAGCTTTATGAATTCTTCGATACTACCAAACAGACGACGGTTGCTATAGACCCACTTTGCAAATTCTAGTATTCCAGTTACCCACGTCAGTTCTTTGAACGTAATATTGTGTCTACGGAGGGTGCAAATAGCATCTTATATACTACTCGAAAACAACGTCTCGTACACAGTTGTAATTCCCCACCGCAAATATATATTCAGGCTGACGTGGATGTAGATTCTCCTGTAGACCAGAGCCACTCCTCCTCTACAGCAGTTGAACATAAAGCGAAAGAAGCTATAACTAGCAATCTTTCCAAGCTAATCTCTTTGCTCAGCTAAGAAAACTGCTAGTATCACTTCCTCTAAAAAAGCTTCTTCTACCAGTTCCTCTTCAAGGTACTTCGTCTACCCTTCTTCTGGAAGTGCTAGTTCAGACAATCTTGCTTCTGATAATGAAAATGAAGTAGATTCAGACTCTGTAGATTCAAGCTGTTCCAGGGAGCTCTACTCAGCCACATGACTTCGCATGGCATGTTTAGCTCATCCTGCCATGTCTGTAGCTGCATAAAAATTAGTCCGCGGATAGAGTTCCGCATGTGATGACCTGACTGGAAAATCAGTCTCGAACCCTCACTCACCTCTCAAGATCCAAACTCGCGCTGAACGTTCAGAAGGTAGGCAAAAGCTTATGCTCAATCACTCCAGCAGTTAAACCTAGGATCCTTGATTTTGATATAAATCGTAATCAAGCGCATTGACCATTAGGCCATGCGACCTAGATATTTGATACTCGGCTGTAGGTGTACATAATGCTGTCTAAAAAAGTTCTAACAGATTAGAGCAGCATCCCAGCGTGAATGTCACCAATTCATTCAAACTGCAAACCATATGGGACAACCAGTCTCGAAACCAGTCGATGAATCTCAGATATCCCTTGAATCTCCATCTAAAGAAAGCCATGAACAAAAAGTCATTTCCGTTCCATAATATTAATGATAATACAAAAACAAAACACCGTAACTCCATCCCATCTAATCATGCGGCATTTGTGTCTTGTCTTCAGATGGCTTCATGTCGTAGCACTTGTGCTGTAAGCCTATCATAGCCATTGGTGAAAAGAGGTTGTAAATTGTGACCCTGCTTTAACGCCCAGAGGAAAACCGGTTCCCCAACACTGACTTCACTCCACTGCGGATATGCTCCATTGTAGTGCTTTTTTCTGGTTCTATGTCCAAAGGCTGTATAGGGTCAACCTGTACTCGAACAAAAAGCGTAGAAAATAAGAATTGTTCGCCTTGGTTATCGTACAGAGGTAAATGACGGTACCCTAATTCGTAAAGGGTAAGTATATTCGTAGGAGACAAAGTGAGATAAGACATACCTTGTTGGAGGGAAATCAATTTCGCTGTATAAGATCCAAACATAGAAGATCGATCCCCAGAGTTGCTATCATTGTATAATGCAAACCGTACGAAAACCAGAGATGGAAATTTTGTCTGAATGGAAAAACTCATCTTTCCACTGCCGCTTCTACTGAAGATTGGGCTAAATCCATTTTCCCTGACAACGACTGTGCGACGTCTAGTAGGTGCGCCTAACCCAGATGCTGCTTTCGAATCCCCTGCTTCTACCCCTCCCTCAACCGTTGAAGCTCCTTTAGCCTTATCATCAGCACTAAATACTTCAACCTCAACAAATGGATCAAAGGATTCATCCGGTTTTTGGTCCTTGGGGCGCGGAAGTTGTTGGGCAGATATCACATCAATCGAGAATTTAACAAGCATCTTGTCTTTTCTTATTTTTGCAGCAGCCGCATCAGCCATTGGATCGTTCGTAGTTTTCATGTTTCTGAGCTCTTTCGGCTTTAATACATATCCTGTATGGTCATGTAACGATGCAAACATTGCCTCGTTCATTTGCAGGCCTAAATCATAGGTTTGCCAATTAAGAGCAACCATTTGAACCCCTCGCCGCCAAAAGGTGTTAGGGTCAAAGTTCGATGAATTCACTCGATATCCAGAGGGATACACTCTCATGAGATAGCGGACGTTATGCTTTTCCAGGGCAATCTTTTTATCGGGATCCTTGCTAAACTTCATAGCCGTCCTTTCAGCGAACGAAAAGACATGATTGTAGGTCTTGCTTTCTGTTGCAGGCTCTCAGTGTCAGCCAAAACCCAACGGAGGTAATGACATAAAGCTTCACTTACCAGGCAAGGCGAAATTAGAAAACTTCTGCCCACGAATATAAATACCAAGTTGGCCGAGTGCTGGCGCAATTTTCTTCGGCTTCCGTTTTGGCTTATTCACTTTCGCTTCACCGGGTGGAGATCCATGACAGTCAGAGTCCAATGAATCAGAAGTACTTTCACTGCTCCCTGTAGCACTCCCAGACACAGTTGCTGTTACTCTTGGTGCGTTTTCTTGACGAGCATTGGCTTCTTTGATGGCCTCGAACTCTTCTAAAGCGGCTCCAATATCTTGAATTTCACTGCTCTTGACCTTGATGAGAATTTTATGTTTGAGGTCTTTGGGACTCGGCAATATCGTAGAGTGAGACACGATTGGTTCCACAACGAGATGGTCCTTTAAGGTACTACGGAGAATTTCCGCCATTTTGTTTTGCTGTTCCAAGCAGCAGTGAACTTCCAGGGAAATGATAACAGGGTACGGGAGGCAAGAAACGCATATTTTCCAATCGCAACAATGACATCGGCAAACAGAACCTTCGTGGTGAAAGTTCTTCCATGATAGACCACTGGACGGCCATCATCTCCATCCCAGCAATCCACTTCCACACATCTGCAACCTCGCTGAAGTACTTTGATGTACGCTTCAATAGAAGATTCGCCGACAACTTGTCGTCCAAGGAGATATGTATTATGAGAACTGGAAATGAAGTACTCGTTCAATGGTTGTTCAAGATCTTGTTCGGTGACAGTTGTCTGCAATGGCGGGTTGAACGCTTGTGATCGAAGAAATACTTGAAAGGCATCCATTGACATTCGAGACTCCGCGTCCTTTGGCTCTAAAGGAGACGGGATTCCATTCATCCGCTCAATCCTGCGTGATTTTCGACAGAATTTTCGAAACACTCTATCGATATGGATAGCATCCGCCTCCACATCCACCTGTTGAATATCCCTCAAAAACAACCAAAATTCTTCCCGAGTCATACCTCGACCAGCATCCTTCACAATGTTTCTCCATATTTCAATAATCTCCGCTCGCTCTTTTAGAAGAGACACAAACTTTTGGAACTGTGCAAAATCCAGGTATCCCGTTCCCTCCCGATCTGCCTCATTGAATTTTTTTCTTAGAAAGCGTCTGGAACAATTGACATGCAGTCTGCGGCAAAGGCGCTCCACGCGGTCAAACGATAATCTCTCTTCTTTTTCGTTTGGCCTGGAAGCAAATTCATTTCTCCAATGCTCAGAAACAAACTTATCCCCTTGTACAGCCAAACCCGACATAAATTCTGTTCGGTATTTTAAAACCTTCTCTAGAGTGGTGGTCCACAGTACAAAAGATTCATTATCAGGTGCAATAAGGTGAAGTGCCTTAAGCTTGCCATTCTCCTCATGCTCAGCGTATATTATTGTAAACCATAGATCTTCACGGCTCTCGGCAACTTTGAACTCCTCACGATAGTTACGTGCATCTGCACCAACTCTAATCTCCTTCACATCATCAACAAAGAAACGAGATGATGGTTTAGATGGATCCCAAGTCACTTTGGCACTTTGAACATCCAGCTTAAATGTGCGATTGGAAGTTTTCTTCTGAGTGACTCGAGTCAGAATAGTACCCTTTTGAAGTATCTCAGGTATAACCACGGTTGCTGGCGGTGAGGGAGCGGCAGGTGCGGATAAGTTTTTTGTGGAAGAGGAATCATATGGCCCATCAACCTCATGGACGCTGTAATCGTCTTCATCATCTGATCGGGAGTGATACTGTAAACCTAAATCTTTGACGCTGCCACTATCACTTCGATGCCTCATAGTTACTGGCCCGCTGGATTCATTTTGCCCCTTATTACTCGAATTTCGTTTACGTAGTTTGTTGGCAGCAGTTTGAGAAAGTCGTCTCATCAAGCCAGCCCTTGATCCTCCAGTCGGAATGCCGCCTTCGCTTGCAGTGGTGACTGCAGAAGCTGGGAGAGTGATACTTGTAAGTTGTGGGGCAGTATGATGCTTTCGGGTTGGATCAGGAGCTAGCAATGCTGGCTCTTTGATTGTTGGAATAGTAGAGCTCAAGCCAGCGCTGATCTGCCAGGGGAGTGAAAAACTGGATGCTCTCGATCTCTTAGGTTCCCGCAATGTTGAACAGGCAGATGACGATTCTGTGCCAGGAGTTGATATCATGGAAGTACTCAATGGATCACAAACCATCTCTGGGCCAGACATCATGTATGGTTGAGATAGTAGAGCTTCCCTGAATTTATCAGCTTCACTCGTTGGTGCTATATGAGCAGCCGTGACACTTGAACTGCTCATGATCTGATGAGGGTTGGGGACCAGCAAGGAAGTATGATCTTGGTGTATCCGAGGAAGATATATGGATAGAGTTTATTGAAATCCCAATTGGGCAAATAAGACCGACACAACGATGGTAAGCGATGAACTCGCCTAGAACCTGTCAAAGGAAGAATGAATAAGCCCGCTGTACATCCCAACAGAATGCCCATAAGCAGTTACCTTGGTCGAAGAGAGTTACAATAACGGCTCCGACATTGTTGTCTGCTGTCGAACGCGAAAGCAATAGGGAGTGGCCCTGACGCTTAAAGCAATGGTTCGGTGCTGAAGGTGAACCTGGGGATTTTATGTTGCAGCGTAGGCTGAGAAGACGCTTTTTGCCAATGCTTGTGCCGAGACGAAGAGTGCTGACAGTCAAAGTCTTCTGAGATTGAGATCCGATAGGGCCGCCAGTGTACTCAGGGTGACCGAAATTGCGGAAAAGTGGGCCAGTGCTGGGACGTCACTGCGTTTGATTTGATACAGCGTGGACTTTCTCCGAAGACTGAGTTTAAGGCACAGGAGCAAGGCCTGAAATATAAGTATACGTGTGGACGCGGTTCACCTCGTGAGAATGCCATCCCAGGCGTTGATCCTTTTCCGTTCATTCGTCAGCCGAACGGTCAACGAGAAGTCCGCCATACGCTCCTATGATACCAACTTTGCGAATGCGCTTAATGAGAAATCCGCGCCATAGATACAAGTTGCTCGCGTGCAGCTACTTGGCAGGGGGGGGGAGGGAGGGGGGGGGGAGGGGGGGGGGGAGGGGGGCAGCAGTTACAACAAAGCAGAGGGCAAGCCGAAGGCGCTGCTCACGGAACCGGCTAGAGGAACGATAGCAGAGCAAGCTTAATCAGGTGGGAACGAGATGAAGTGAGAATGGTGAGATGAGGCCATGCAGCCCAATGGTAAAATTAGCAAAAAAAATGCGCGGAGAGCGACTACACAGGCTACAGAAAACGCTCCGGACAAAGTATCTGTGCGGTAGGAAAGGGCCCCTGGCGGGCTAAATGGTCCTGGCGGGCGGGGATGGGCAGGGCAGGGCAGGCAGGGCAGGTAGGGCAGGCAGGGCAGGCAGGGCACGGGGGGGAGGGGTGGTGGGAGGGAGATTTGGATGCTAGCCATGTTTTTTCTTTTTCTTTTTTTCTTTTTCTTCTGCTTGTTCTTCATTTCTTTTTCCGTTCAGAAAGTGCTTGGTGGGGCTGGGGCATGTCAGGAGAGGGGTGGTACAGTGATGGAGGGCAAGAATTGGTGGCGAAGAGC